TTATTAACATTTCAAATAATATTAAAAATAATAATAAAAAGTAAAAAATAGAAAAACAAAAATCGTAGTTATAATTATGTGTAAGTGTTTTTGTTGTGGGTGAGTTATATATATATATTTGTGTATGTGTGTGTTTAGTATGTAAAACCATCGGCAAAATGCACACATAGAAAGTTTAACGATTCTTAAACTTTACTTTTACGCTCTTTGGCCATTTTTTTTTATGCATGTAATAATATTAGAAAATATTTATCTCGAAGGACGCTAACATTATTAGGAAATGTATTGTATGTGTCTGTGTCTGTGTCTGTGTCTGTATACATATACATAAATATGTATGATTTATGTATATATGTTGTGTATCTTATCTAATTCGTTCCAAATCCCCATTTCATCGTTCTGAAGCTCTTTCAATATGAGAAAATTCTCTTCTCTTTTTCTTCTTCTAATTATTTTTTTTTAAATTGCAATATTACCATGGAAATGAGATTATAATCTAGATTTTTAGAAATAGGCCGATAACGTAAATCGTGTTTTTTTTTTATCAATGGCGCAATCATTATTATTATATAATGTATATTATATATATATATTTAATCTTTTTTTTTAACTAATACGGTCAAAATTTGTTTCTACCGCGTTTTGTTCTTGCTTATTAATAATTAAAAACGATAATGCTTTTTTAGACTTATTAGGGAAAATGATAAAATTATTTACGAGTTTCTTTCTGTTTTTCTCTTTTTCCTTCTTTCTTTCTTTCTTTCTTTCTTTCTATCTTTCTTTCTTTCTTTCTTTCTTTATTCTTTCTCTTTCTCTCTCGCTTTTAAAACAGGTAATGTTTGAATGTGTCCATCGTTAATTGTTTTTACTTTCACATTTTCGATTTTCACATTTGCGGTTATTATTTATCCGAAGAAAAGTGTTTCTAGAAAATGTTAAAAACGCATCTTTGGCTCCCCTATCATCCCCTCCCTGACCGTTTGTCCCTATCACTCCCATCCCCTTTGCTGAATATACGAATGCTTACTGCTTCTTCAATTCCACCTTATTTTTCTTTGCGTTTCTTCTCCTTTCCTCTCCTCTATTAACTTTTTTTACTTTATCTTCTTCTTAGAAAAGATCTGCATTCTCATGTACGCTAGAACAAAAATGACAAAATAATATTAATTGAAGATCAATAATGTATATTTAAAGTAAATCAAAAAAAGTATTAACAATGTGTATTGAGAATACAAGGATTGTTTAATTTTAGGAAATGATGATTAAGATGTACAAGGTTAATACATTTAATATAGTTGAAAAGTCTGGAAAATGTACAAGTATAGAGGGTGAATAGTATAACACAATATTGCATTATTAAAAAATTATTTTGTTCAGATTGTAAAGTTTTAAATAAATCAAAGTTTGACTATTCATCCTTTATGTTCATTCACAGGTATAGTTAATTATCAGCACAACAATCGCCGGAGTTAAATGGTTACAATGTACATATATACAACAATAATGATTTACTTGCACAAGTTATAATTATTTTTCATATATTTTCTCTTTCCTCGTTTAATAGAATTTTGTAAAAAGATTTGATAATAGTATTATATTATTAATCGATGTTATTATATACAAGCATTAACAAAAATTCACAGGTTGATTTGTCGACGAAGCAATAATAGAAACGCAAGAAGAACGTTGGCATGGAAGAAGGGAGATGTGCGTTCAGTTAGTTTCCAAAAAAGCACGGGTGTTTTCACCAGGTAGCCGACGATATGCGAGTCCCTTTGTAGGATGATTAGTGATTCCTTGTTACATCCAAAGTAGAACAACAAAATCACTAGTCTTCCATACAACGGAGCTCTTTCTTTCTTTCTTTCTTTCTAATCCTGTCGATTTTTAACGTTGAGAAGAAGATTTAGCGTAGCCTCAATAATAAAAGAGAGAATTCATTCTGGCATCTCTCCATCTTTCTTTCACTTCTCACCATTTTTTTCTTTCTTTCTTTCTTTCTTTCTTTCTTTCTTTCTTTCATCCTTTCTCGCACACGTATTTGTATGAGTTAGTCGGGAGATATCGTAGCGTTAGTTTTCTTGATGCACGTGTGTCAAATCAAGCAGAAAATATGTTAGGCTGGTACAAAGTCGAATAAGTTGTTATTAAAATGGATGGTTGATGATGTGTGTTAGAGACAATAAGTGACAATGAGTTATAGCGTTAAACTACTATACTATGACAATAATATAATATATATATTAACATTGTTAATATTATAATTACACGCATGATATGATCATAGATCTAATCATAGGATATAATTATTACATAACGTAGAAAATGAAGATAAAGCGTATTAAACCCTCTTCTTATAAGGTTACAAATATCAGTCATAATATATCCAATCCATGATTAAATAAAGGCGACAAAACATTTATTTTCACTTGATAATGAAGTAATGCGAATGAAAGGATTCGAGGATCATCGTAGGAGAAAGAGAGAGAGAGAGAAAAGGAAGCACAAAATCGTTTAAATAAACGAATAAATTCTAGCAATCAGATAATTACCTCTGTTGTAGAAGATACTGGGCCATCTGTATTTGACTGGGTAAGCCAACTATCGTGATAATACGATCATTACTACCACGTAATGGCTCGTCTATGGTGATACAAGCGCCACTGTCCGCTCTAATTTTTCTAATCCTTTGTCCTCCTTTACCAATAATTGCGCCTGCGAGCTAAAATCGATAACAGATGACGGTAACAATTGCATTCACATATGCTTTTGCATATTTGATATATACTGAATTAGTTAACTTACGTCCTTAGGGATGGTGACTTGAGTACTGGTCTTATTTCCAAGAGGAGCGTTGCTTTGGCTCACTGGAGGATTGTTTCCACCCATTGATGATGGACCACTCATTCCAGAGTTACCAGAACCGCCTAAACCGTTTGGTGCACCACCACCACCACCACCACCACCTCCACCACCACCACCACCACTACCACCACCACCACCACCACCACCTTGCATACCCCAACCGTCTCCTACAACATCGAATCAGAGTTAAACATTTTATTTTCCTCTGTCAATTTTCTTAATAACTATTTAATAATAAAACTAATAATAATTATATAGGAACTTGTGAAAGTTCTTTACCAGAGTTATAAGATGAATGGCCGCCGCCGCCACTCCTGTTACCGCCAGAGTAGCCAGAATTTCTTCCCCCTTCGTAACCACCGCTGTTACCAGAACCACCACCACCTCCACCATCGGATCTAGAGTTACCGCCGCCATATCTGCGATCCATCGGACCACCACCCCTCGACATACCGCCACCACCTGATCCTCCGCGATGACCACCCCTCGATGAATGCGGAAAGCCGCGATTCATGCGATTCTCTCGTCTCGGAAACACCGTACTGCTGGCTGGAACATCTCCTCTTTCTTCGCAAAAGATAAATCCTGAAGGAATGCTATAAGGACCTGTTTTTGGAGTCCCATCACTGCACCCATAACCTCCGTACTCGTCTGCATAATAATCGTCGAAGTTGTGAGGATCGTAAGGATTGTTCACTCCTTTCAATGGCGACTGTAAAAAATAAAAAGAACAAAATAACCAAACGGAATATTTTGTTTACAAACGCGCGTGAAAGAACATTAGCGGCGTTTTTCTTTACTTTTCTTTTTTCTCTCTCTTTTTACATACCGTCTTAATAGTAGCAATCAATTCGCGGATGCATTCTATGCACGTAGCTGGTTTTCCGCAGATGCTGATCAGGCGATCCGTGCTGCGTGGACAGCAATTGGAGTAGATTTTTATTCTGGCTCCGGTTTTCTGCGAACACACAAAGAAAAATAAATTTACGTCACGAAAGAATATTATTTTTATACGAGAAATAATATCGTTTTTCCTTTGGATTCCTCCCCCTCCTCCCCATATATATATATATATACATACATATATCGATAATTTGATCGACGTTAATGATAAATTTAAAAAAAAATCCCTTCTCGTCTCTCTCGATTATAAAACGACGGATGTAAAATAGGAAATTATACAATGTTTCTTCCCCTTCCACTCCCCCCCTCCTCCCTTATCACACTAAGCTTCTTTTATTACACGTCGGTTCTCGTCGTAAAAAAAAAAAAAGAAATAAATCGGTGAGTTTATAAGCGCTCATTGAAGAAGATTCGATTCAACATGACACGTAAAACGTTTATTCCAAACGACTGAGAAAAGCAATTCAATCCGTTCGAATATACTACTCACGTCGTCACTGTTAAAATACACGACGACATCGAATGGAAATCGCAGCACCGTTTAATTACACAGATCAAAGAGGGATACCCCCCATCATCAACGCCCTTTCTATCGTCTTTCTCCTAGTTACCCCCTCCCCCTAGCATCCCCTTTCTCTCTTTCTCTTTTACTAATGCTTTTGATCCGACAATTCAACTAGTTGTATTTCCTCAACAACAAAGGATTCACAATGCGTTGCAATTCTATTATGCGACACTGTTCAAAAAATTGTTATACCAATTTTCACTATATATATTATATAATCAATCGGATTAATTGAATTATTTTATTTGAGAATTTCCAATGAAATTTTATTATTATGTTAGTTATAAAAATTATAAATTTAGTTATGATGGGACATATTTTATTACACGTTTGTCTATAATAGGTAAAAAAAAAAAATAAAAATGTCAAGGAAAAAGAAAGTTAGGTGAAAGATTTTCCACGTAGGTGATATTCTGATTCCTATTTTCACGATATGGGGATAAAAAGGACTTAAAGTCCCGTGGGATACTACGCTTTAGAGAGACTTCTGCTCTTTCTGGATAGTTCCACATTGAATTTACCCGTTTCACCCTTTTCTCTTGGATCTTTCTGAAACACATCGTTCCGATACTGAATTTTTATGAAGCAAATGTGGAGTTGTTCCTTTAGTTTCTCTCGTGAAAGATATAGGCCGGTATATTATAACGATTTGTTATTATAAAAAAAAAAGAAAAAAAAAAAAAAAAAAAAAAAAAAAAAAAAAAAAAAAAAAAAGAGGAAGAAATAAAAATGTAACACGACAATTCTTATTAGGTTATTCGAATTCGCAAAATAAGGATAAAGAAGAAAAAAAAAAGTAGATAAAACAAAATTGATCCGGTGGCTTGTAAAAATCTGATTTTGCGAAAATTAATATACAACGAATATTATTTATTGTAATAATTTGAGTGTAACGCGGAATGATCGCAGTAACATCAATGACCCTTGCTCATTCTACGTAAATGATTATAAATTTTGATGAGTTTGCAGTTCACGGTTGTGTATTTCCAAGCGGAAGAATAAAGTAGAAACCAACTAAAGAAAATATTCTACGGCAGTCTGATCGAAGTGACCATAAGCGAAACAAGGAAAATCTTACGCGCCCACCAATATAATAGTAACGGTGATTTTTAATTTTAAAATTATTTCTCCTTGGGATTAATTATTCACTTACCTTTCTTTTTTTTGTTGAACATCGATCACAGGTGAGATTCGTTATACCTTAATTAATTTTTATTAGTTTAACTATTTCCGTCCTCGAAGAAAAAGTATCCAGGCGTTATTTCATATTCCTATTACGTGTAAAACAATTTTTATTCATCGTCCTTGATTGTTAATAATAATAATAATAATAATAATAAAAAGAAGAACTTATTTAAAAACGAACGGACCAAAAAGTGAGCGTGATCCGATAAGACAAAAAATGAACGCATCGTTTCTACGTCAAATTCGAAACTTTTCAATCGGATATAATACATACAAAAAATAATTTAGTTTCTTTTCGAAAGGGAAGATATCTCTCTCTCAAAAAAAGAAAAGAAAAAACAAGAAACATTTTGAAGAACGTTACGCTTTGAACACTCGGTACATGTGTGTACGTATAAAAATGCACGAGACGCGAATGTCAAGGTGCGAGGTCACGTTTTCCGCTTACATTTCTTCCTCCTCTTATTCTTTCCTCTTTTTTTCTTCTTCTTTTCTTCTTTTTGTCTCTTTCTCTCTCTCTCTCTCTTCCCCACCACTCCTTTATCCTTTATTTATATTTGTTCTTTTCTATTTCTTACCGATAGGCTTTGAGTAGTCAGTCAAGTCGTCGCCTACTTTCCCTTTCAAAGTTCGTCCCAAGATCGCACAAGATCCGATCGATAAGTGATCTAGAATAGATCATTGCCGAGTATATAATAGCGATGGGGGGATTCTTATTCTATTTTCTATTTTCTATGTTCCATACGAATTTACATTCGAACAAATCTTCGATCGTGAATGCGTGTACGATGAATTCAAAAAAAAAAAAAAAAAAAAAAGAATAAAAGAAAGAAACCGCTGACCAGAAAAAAAAAAAAAGAAAACGCGTTTGATTAATATCATCGAAAAAGAAAATTTGTCGTTGTTCCGATAATTATGACAAGGGTAGTATTATATTTTTTTAATATAAATATAATTATCAATGATAAAATTAAAATTTCTCGCGTTAATTCATTGACTTACTAATAATTAATTCATTGTCACGTTGCGCCAATAAATTTGATTATGATATCTCGTAGCGAATGAAATAACATTAAATTTAATGAATTGTAAATATTACAAATAATTTGTTACGTTTTGCGTGAGTATTTTATTCCCATCGCTGGAGGAGGATCTTCGTGTCCATCGAGAATTCTTTTGAAATTTTTATACAAATCGTACCGACCTTACCGTCTTCTTCTTCTTCTCAACGCGTACCCTCCCTCCCTCCCTCCTTTCCCCCTTTTTCAACGCGTCACGTGTATTAAAATTCAATAAATAAAGAGCACAGACAGGTCGGGATCGAAAAATAAGAAAAAAAATATCCAAAGAAAAGGAAAGAAAAGAAAAAGACTAATCAAAAATAGAAATTTATTTTTAACGAGGAAAGAGAAAAAAGAAAAAAGATTTACCAAAGATTACATTTCATTTTATAGGTCCTTAAAAAAAAAAGAAAAAAAAAAAAAAAAAAAAAAAAAAAAAAAAAAAAAAAGGGGGGAAATTAAGATATAAAACGCGACGGAATCGTTAAAATATTGAAGAAGAACAATAAACACCATGGCAAAGGTTTACACGATGGACGAGGTAGCTCGACACAATAAGGAAACGGATTTATGGTTAGTGATGCACGGTGGAGTTTACGATTTAACTGATTTTTGTAAGAAACATCCTGGCGGGGAGGAGGTGTTAACACATTCGGCCGGAACAGATTGTACGGCGTGTTTCGATGAAATCGGTCACTCCGAGGAAGCCAAATTACTTAAGGAAACATTTAAAATAGGCGTGATAGAAAAAGATGTGGAATTTACGAGCGATTTCAAACCAGATCAGAGTCAAGGTAGGAAAGGGGTCAGACAGACAGGCAAGCCACCAGGCAGGCTAGACCCAATCAAACATTATTTCTATATTTAGATTACATTTTTACGATCGAAAATAATTTGTTGTTTATTTTTCGATGGAGAGAGATTAAAAGCGTCCTTGAGACAAGGGCACAACATTGCTTGAAAATACAAAAGGACGTTTCGTTCGACATTTTGTATTTTCTTTTATTTTCAATAATAAATAAAACAGAAAATTTGAAAATTTTAGAAAAGATGAAAGAAGCTAACAACATCCCTACTACCAGCATTGATGATAACGACGACAACTGGGAATATACTGAACCGAAAAAAGATACTAATCGAACGTTACCGTTCCTGCTGACAGCGGGTGTTCTTATCTACGCCATTTTGTTCTATTACTTTTTATTTTAACGAGTATCTTTTGATAGAAAATATTTTCTGTACGTATACATACAAATAGAATGATAATAAACATCTAATGTATGCATAATTTAAAATTAATTATAGAATATACGCGTCATTTCAGCTATGACGTGGCGACGACATTTTTCTTATCTATTTTAGCAGAAAAAAATATAAAGTCATTAATTTTAAATATATCAGTCTACTACCTCTCTTTCCCCACAGCCGCTTTTTTCTACTTATTTTTTCGTATTTTTATTTTTTTATTATAAATAATCATCGAAAAATGATCTCGCGAAGGACGTTGGACGTTAAAATTGAATTATCATGCCGTATCTTTTACATTTTTTTCGTTTATACCATTTCATACTTGAAAATCTAGCGATAAATGCCACGTTACATTATTATCTAAACATTTATAAACTTATCTCTCTTTCTTTCTTTTTTCCGCGTGTAACAAACACGCATAAACGTGACAATTGTGTGTACGCATTTATCGACAATATTGTTTCTACGTTTTCGAAAGTGTTTAAATTAATTAAAAGTACTTCGCAAAAAGAAAAAAAAAAAGAAAATAACACTTAAACGAATGCAGATTAACGAAGAGACAAGATTTGATCTTATATAGACGAAAGAGAAGAACAAACAAAAAGTAATAAAATCGTTTACATAATATTTATTACCATTGAAACACAGTTTTACGGGTGTTCAGAAAATTTATATGTGATAAGGTGTTTAGAAGAGAACAAAAAATATCTAAATTTTGATATATTTCATAATTTTCTGACCTTTTTATCTACCCAAATGATAAAGAAAAAAAATCCCGATGACAACTCCACCCCGCCTTCCAAACCCCCCCCCTTCTCTCTCTCAGTGTCTCAAAAAGATGATAAATTTTGAAAAGTAAGAAGAAAAAAAGAAGAAAAAGATAAACGAGATCGTTTTCGATATTCCTTCATCACTTAATATTATTACTCGTTTCAAATAAGATAAGCATGAGACAGAGAGAGAGAGAGAGATATTGGTTGGACGTCACCGATTGAGAACTCGGAGAAGAGAATTATACACGCGAACGCACACACGCGCACATACAGAAAGAAAGAGAGAGAAAGGAAAAGTTGGAAGGGGAAAAATAACACTCATTGGACGCCGGACTCCTGTTTTCTATCGACAGTGTTTCTACGAGTACCGTTGTGCGAGGTGAAAAACGAAACGATTCATCTCTCTTCTTTTTTTTGTTATATTCGTGTGCTTCCACAAATTTTATTTAATAATCGGTTAATATATTTTGTCAAATATTGTTGTTAGATTTTGTTTCTTTGTTTATAATACGTACGAACGACTCATCTTCATTTTATTCTCTTGCAATCAAATGAATAATATATTGGATTGTGAAATCTTGTAACTTTTCATTCCTTTCGAAATAAGTTCGGATTTTTGAAGACATTATTATTATTACTACTACTATTACCAACAGGAACAACACTAAACGTCAAATAAGAAGACGCCGTCAAGAGTGATTTACCGAAGCAACCGAAATAGAACAAGTATTATACGACTAATTTCGTTGGAGAGGGAGGGAGAGAGAGAAAGAGAAAGAGAAAGAGAGAGAGAGAGAGAGAGTACTTGTCAAAAGTACAGGTATAGGTTTTTCTATTATAAATTTAATTCAATTTAAAAATAATTATTATATTATATTAACAATTTTTGAATATTTCAAATTGTTAAGTTTGACCTAGTAATTATTGTTATGATAGGCTAATCATTTAATTCATTATTGATCTTTTCATACGACAATTTATTATTTATTTTCTTATTTTTGGAACATTTGTTTTTCAACGATGAGTACAAAGGTATCAGGTTGGAAGTAGAATTATTGAATTTCATTTAAAATCATTCTTCTCTCTCGATATTTTGAGAATCTATTAAACGATTTGTTAATAGAGTTAGACGGGGTTTTTTTTTCTTTTTCTTTTTTGGTATGACGAACATTCTATTGAGTCAATAAAACGAGAACTCAACATAGTCGCGATAGGATGTTATTATAATTAATCGTTTGGAATAGTAATTAGGATATTATTGTTGACGTATACGATAGTTGAAATTAATAATAATAAACAAAAAGAATTAATGTATCCTTTTCCTTTTTTTCTTCTTTTTTTTCTTCTTTTTCTATTTTACTTTGCATCCTACGATAGATACCATAAATTTCGATTACGTAATTCACGGAGGAGTTGAGAATTTGATTACTTTATCTATTTGAGAACCACTGTTTTTATATCACTCGTTATAAAGTCGAGTGCTTACAAACACAATTGATATCATCTTTTTACACGACTGAGAGAAAGAGAGAGAGACAGACAGAGAGAGAAAGAGGCCAAGAGTTTATTGCGACAGAATATCTTTTTTTTTCTTTTTTGGATATGATATTTTCGCGACAAAAACTTTAACAATATTATCGAACGATTTTTATTTATCTGTTTCTTATTTTTTGCTTAATTTAAATTAGCGCAAAGAGACAAACGAATAAAAGCAACAACAATGGCGGACCCCCCCCCCGCCCCGCCCTGCCCACCGTTCGATTTTTAACATACGTTGGTTTCACGATCTTTTTGATCTAATCTCTTTCTTTGAAAACTAAAAATTATAACATCAACATTTGGTATCTAATCGTTATAATAGAGGAAATTCCACTGGAGTATTATTATCTATTATAGTTATTTTCAAACGATGATACGTATGTTTTTTTTTCAAGCACAATTTGTGCAACGCAATGCTATTTAACCACAGGGATCTCTTCATGTCCTATTTCCATACTGGATGGTTCTTTTTTTTTCTTCTTCTTTTTCTTTTTTATGTATTTCACTTAATTTTACTTTGAAAGAATCGTAATCTTTCCTGAGAAATTGTACATATAATACGTTAGAATAATAAATATATATTTTATTTTTAGCCAGAATTGGAAAAGATAAAAAAAAAAATTAAGCGGTTTTAAGACATCGGATGTTGTCGTAACGTTTGAAAATTATATAAATTATGGAGATAAAGTAATGATAGGCAAATAGGAATGAGTATGCATTATTAACCATCGTGACAGTATATACAATACATATACGACCGTACGAACGTAGTACAATTTTTCATTTACAATTATATTCAACCAAAAATACACATATTGATTTTAAACGCGTGAACAGGACGTATTAAAATATGTTAAATAATTTTTTTTTTCTTTTTTTTTTCTTTTTATTTTAACGACTTCATCATTCACGGTTAAAAAGTATGATAATTATTTATCTTTATTTAAATATTTTTTCACACATACACATTTCGTTGTAATTAATGCGTTTCTTTCTTTTGTTTTNAGTATGATAATTATTTATCTTTATTTAAATATTTTTTCACACATACACATTTCGTTGTAATTAATGCGTTTCTTTCTTTTGTTTTTTTTTTTATAATTATTAGCCTAATTTTCAAAACTCGACAATTATGTTTCTATTTACGTTCTTTACTTTATTAGAACGAAAAGTTATTTATATATATATATATATATATTTTATGATATATTATTTGTTAAAGAATAATCGAATTTACATTGGTCCTCGACCTTCGGAGTCAATGATTTTCTTTCAAGTTTCTTCTTCTCTTCGGAATAAAGAAAGACACGAGAAAAGATTTATCTTTGTGCGAATCGTTTTAAGAGAAATCCAGCACCGTCTCAAGGACAATAGGTCTCCACCATTACCATCTCCTTTTTTTTCTCTCTCTCTCTCTTTCTCTTTCTATTCTTTTCCTATTTTATTTTTCCAAGTGAAAATCGACGATCGTCATTGCGATAAAACCTTGAACTTATGTTATTTTCCTTCAACTCATTTTTCTTGCCGTTTATTCCAAAAAGAAAAAAAAGAAGAATAAGAAAAAATGGATAAGTTTGATTAACATATTCTCGGAACAGTTAATGCATATTAGATATAGTAGATTCATGATTTATACTTGAGAATAATAATTCTACCGTGTGTGATGTTTGTTGAATTAAAGTTGCATTCGCGTTTCGCATATATTATATCTACGCGTTTGCCTATTTTCATAATCTGCTATCGTCACGTTGATAATTCTTATTCTCCCGCCCTCTTGAATTGAATATATATATATATGTATGTATCAAATCACACACGCATACACAATTGGATCTCTTCCTTTACTTCCAGTTCGTTACTTTTGCATAACATACAATATTGTTTGAGATATCGTTTTATACTTTTATATTTAACATTTATATTTAATTTATCGTTTAATCATTTGTTTGATTATGATTTTTTTATTGCTTCCCCCGTCTTGCATAATCCATCATTCGTAACCCTCGGTACTATTATTCTGATAAGATAATCGAGTTGCCATTTCCTTTCTGACAATATTAATTGACACAACCTATTGTTTATGGATATATTTATCTTCAGTGCAGTTAGAATAAATGCTCGCGTTAGGGAATTTCTTTTTCTAAAGAATATTTATCTATCGATAAGTTTGAGAAAAAGGGTTTTTGAACTTACTGGACATAATACAGGTCCAGATACAATTTCGAACGACCACTTGAAAACACTTAAGTAAAAATCTTAAACGATAGACAATTGGATTACAAATGAACAAACGATCAAGTTTGTTTCTACAAATGTATTTAAAATTTGTTCTACGATATCAAATCAATTTTTATAATGAATATAATTATATGAACGCTATGTTTACAGATAGTTTGCTTGGACTGAAAGAAACAAACGAGAATCGAAGAAGAAGAAGAAGAAGAAAAACATAAAATGGTGGAATTGAAACAATATACCATAGCAGAAGTACAGAAGACAAAGGGTACCGGAGAAACGGTGATCATTTTAAACGACAAGGTTTACAATGTGACCAAATTTTTGAACGAACACCCGGGCGGCGAAGAGATTCTCATGGATAACGCCGCAAAAGATGCTACGGAAAATTTTAATGACGTCGGCCATTCCCAGGAGGCACTTGACTTAATGAAAGAATATTTAATAGGCGAGATCGTAGAATCCGAGAGAAAAAAGAAGCCCTTGAAGAAGGGTTGGGTAGCTGGTTACAATAAAAAATCGGAAAATGAAAAATACGTTAAGGGACCGGGCGTGCCATTTTACACCCTTATGGCAGTCATGATTCTCTTACTTGCTTTATATCTTTACAATATGTTATGATCAACATATGTTCTTCTTCATGATTGTGAAGTATATTATCGTTTGACGTCATCGTCATCGTCGTCGTCGTCATCCTCAACGACGTCATCGTCATTATTGTCGTCAACACTGTCATTATTGTTGTTCTGATTTAATGATTAACGTTGTTGAAAAGAAAACCAAACAATACCAAAAATGAAATAATAATATGATATGATAAATTAAATGAGATTATTCATATATTCGATGATAATATAAGTTTTAATCGAGAAATATCATTTTTACAAACAAACAAAAAATCACCGCAAATATTTTCTTTTATTCAAATATGTATCATGAATCCGTGCGGATATGCGCGTAAGCATGCAAATTATACACAATGCATTTGTAATTGTTCCTCCAGTTTTATTTTCTTTTTTACGAAAATATGCAATAGTTCTTATATTTCTTTTTCTTTTTTATTATTCTTATCTTATATTTTTGTCTCTGCCATGCAATCGACATAATTTATTTCTAAATGAATATAATGAATTAATCGTCGTCTGGTACAATTGTAATTAGATTACAGTGAAAATACAATAAAAGAATAAACAATATGTGAACTTAGGAAAAAAAAATTCAAGTTATGTAGAAAGAAGAAAAAAAAAATACGATAAATTTTTTACGATCATGATTCGTCACGATATTGATAAGCATATTAAGTACAAATATAGATTGTAAAAAAAAAATAAATTTCGTTTTTACGAAGAATGAATGAAAGAGCATTTTTACAAGCCAATTGTTGTTGCGTAAAACGCGTGCATATTATATTTATCATTTCATTTATTCAAATTACACGATAGGATGATCTCCCTTCATCTACGTACACGTATATATATCTGCATACAGAGCATAATAATGATATAAAATTATCGAAATACGCATAAGTAATTTTCTAAAAGATTAAGAGAGAAAAACAAAGAGAGAAATAAAGTATAAAACACGTTCAACAGTTTAGAAAAATAATTTCTCAGTGCACATGCTCGATGAAACGGACCTTAAACTAATTGGTGTGAGCGTGAGAAAAAAGAAAAAGAAAAGATATCGAGTACATCTGCGTTAACGAAGACGAACGGTCCTGGTTCCCTTCATAGCAAGCCAAGTGCACAAATTTAACAACCCACATGGAGTATTCGAGGAGAAGAAGAAGAAGATGGAACAAAAATACAAGAAGAAGGGACTACCCAATCCTTTCGACGATTTCTACAAATTTCTATGAAATTCCTTTCGAAATATCCATGCTTTTTGTCACTTTTTTCTTTTAATATTTTGCTAAAAGTGAAAATACTGTTCCAATTGCGAATCAAATTTCCCGCTTTTTACACCGTTCGAGTGGCGACATCTCTCGTTATTTCTTGCGAAACTGTTTTACGAACCATAATGAAATGCAATATGTACAACAGTACGAATACCAATTGTAAGTAAATCGAAAGTATTAACTATTACTTTTTGATGTATATGTTATTGACAAATAATCTATGCGAAAAATACTAAATGAACGAAAAATTCAATTGCTTTTCCTTTTCTTTTTGGTAAATCAACAATAATGAAAAAAAATTGGTGGGGATATTGATATAATAATTGTTTGAAACATATTGAAATAAATAGAAACATTTCTACGAGTCGACTCGATGATGGTGGATTTTCCTTTTCTTTTTTTATTTCGACAATATTATATTAAAAAGAAGAAAAGAACTTTTATAAGTTTTGAGAGAGATCGTTAATTAAAAAAGTGACGAAGGACGGGTAAAGTTGGCTACAAAGAAAGGCGCTTCTATTCTTCTGCTTACTCACTTTTTGAAAATAAAGAAGAAAAATATAGGATAAAAGAAAAAAAAGTTAAAGAATTTCTCTTCTCTCAACTAGCATTCTCATTTCTCTACTTTCTACTTTGTGAAATACTTCGAAATACATTTTGGTTGAGTGAAAAGTATCTTGAATTTCGTATAGTTTAACAATTTGAAAACATAATAATTGGACGTTAAAAGCTTTCGGATGAGAGTAATTTATCTTAAATATCTTTTTAGAAATCTGAATTCTAATTATGCATTATGTTTATATGTAAGTATTTTAATACGTTGTGCATGTATAGGATATTTCAAATGTTACACGTTATTACTGTCGAAGACAAAATGGTGGCCGGCCATTTGAAGGACCTCATCTACGCAATTAATTATAAAAAAAAAAAAAAAAAAGAACAAATAGGAATGCAAAAAATATATAAAAGAAAAAAATGGTATTTTTAAATGATCTAACGTACTATAAACGGCCGTGAACAACAAAGACTGCTCCATGAACCATTCTATTATTATCTCGATCGGTAGCACGTTGTCGATAAGCAATACATATACGTATAGCTATGAAACAGATATAGTCATGCATGTAGATTGTATGTATGTGTGTGTGTATACGTAAGAGAGGAAAAGGGAAAGAGAATATCAGAGATAGGAAGATAAAATACATTACTTTTGATAACGCAGAAAAACAGACAATTAACGTGCAATCGATCGATTTATTATTATCTCGTTAAATAATCGTTCGGTATATTGTTGAAAAAAAAAAAAAAAGAAACAAAAAAGAAAAACGAATTGCAAAGATAATACATTGATTTCAACGAGTTGTGTATAACGACGCGAACAAAATGTTGATTATATTTTCGTATGGAAATTTTATACGAGTATATAAATAATTATCGATAAACACACACGAAAAAAGAGAGAAGAAAAAAAAATAATATAATATAGATTAATTTTTTATTATTAAAAAAAAGGAATGAATTAACGAAGTCATTGAGGGGGGTATCCAGGTTGATTCAAGTTGACGAAGTTTTCTAAGGTAACAGGAAGTGAATATGAAAAGCATATGGGGTGTACGAAGGACAGGAAGGATATATGTGGTTTTCCACATGTGTCATGCACTCGGTTGCATCGGTAAACCGCATCCACCCGCGCGGAAAGGAAAACGCAATGAGAGAGAGTGCAAGTTGCACGCGACTTTGTTCGTTCAAACGTGAACGAGCGCCACACACCAAGGACAGAAGGGCTAGGTACCAGTTTAGTCTCTTTTTAGGGCTTTTTTCTGCCCCCTACTCGTTTTACATCAGTATAAATAAAAGATAAATAATCGAAAACTTTTCTAATGCAACATTTCGAGAAAAAAGATACTCGATCGATAACGTAGCGATCTTCTAATTTTATAATAATTAATTAAAATTCCATAAAGTTCTCGTAAGATCACGAGAAAAGATGGGAGGAGAGTAGATCGAACACGTGGAATTCGTTTTAATGAGGAAAATAGGTAGAAGAAACTATAGATTGTATGAATGAGATTTGATCGTCAATTTGACGGGACACCATCAAGACCTAATACTTCAAAGAGAAAAGTTTCACGATTCACAAACTGACTCTTTCCTTCTTTCGATATATCCAAAAATTTGTAGAATAATAAAATGATTTTCGATTATTGTTATGGGGTTTATCTATCCTCGAATATGTCTTAGGTAAATTCACCAATAAATTATAGTTCGATAGGCGATGTCAAGAGTCATCATTAGCGGTGTTTTCGAAGTTTCTCAACAAACCGAATAAAAGAAAAGAAAAAGAAGAAGAAGAGAAGGAAAAAAAGAAGCATAGGTAGTAGTAGTAGTAGTACGGAATAATAGCAGTACGATGTGTTGGTGTGTGCTTGGAAAGTATTTTAACGAGCCCTAGAAAATCGGGGGCTTTTGAGGGATGATGCTGTGAAGAAGAAGAGAAAAAAAAAAGAGAGAGAGAGAGAGAGAAAGAAGCGTGTGGTATATCAAGGTTTTGCGAAAAAGGCGAAAACTAGCGGAGTCGTCGAGCTTACGTCCGCAAAATCGATGAACCGCGTCGCTACTTTACACACTCCACTACTGTATTTTTCCCTCTCTTTCTCTCCCTCTCTCTTTCATCTTTTTCCACTTAAAAAAAAAAGAAAAAAAGAAAGGGAGAGGACTATACTCTAATCGTGAATTTTTTTTTTGAGACGAAAAGACACGAAACTAAAACGTAGGAAAAAGAAAAAAAGAAATTTTACAGTTAAGTCGACACCTTTTCCCCCACTCATTAAATTGTTACTCTCTTTTGTGTATTTTATTTTATTATTTATTTTATTTTATTTTGTTTCTCGAAAAATAAAAGAGATCAAAAGAAAAAAATGGAATAAAGTGAACAAACAGAAGAAAAGAGACACGGCGGAAGGGTGAAAACAGAGGGGGTGAAGGGGGGTAAAAAAGAGGGCTGAAGAATTGTAGGGATGGGAATGAAAACGTCGTGAAAACGTCGTGAAAACCCGTTGAAATTTCCAACCCCCCTCTTCTCCTTTCGTCTTTGTAACGAAAAGAAGAAAAGTCCCTCGTGGTTGGTGGCACTACTGCTGGTGGTCTAATATCGCTAAAAGCTTTTTAATAAACAGTTTTTAAATCATTCTGCAATGCATTAAGCTTTTTCTCTCTCTCTCTCTCTCTCTCTGTATATATTTTTCGACATCTTTCAATATTTTCAACCAATTCACGCACGTCGAGATTATTTATTCTAGTCATTTTGGTTACCCTA